AAATAAAAGAGGTTAATATTATTTCATTATTAGAAAATTAACAAAATGAAATATATGCGATGTTCACACATAAAATGAAATAGGGTAAAATCAGAGATTATGGCATAGGCTACTAATATGGAACAGTGCAATCGCTGAAAGTTATTGCAACTGTTACCAAACACGTCATAACAAGCAATGAACTCGGTCAGACCAACCGTTTTGCTACAATTAACATTTATTCATTTTCGTTACGTCAGAAGATTCGGTAGCTTTTTCTAAAAAGTGTTCTCACAAACTGAAGGTAAGTTTTTTTAATGCTTATATTGCACAGACGCTTTTAATAATGTTGCATGAACAATATTACGCAGATTAATTGCTATTTCAAACTTGTTTATTGCTACGGAAAGACTTTATTTGTCATATGACGACATGCAGGTAATGTGGAATACATCGAGGGTTGAGAATATGGAATAGATTCCATGTATGTAGCAACTTATTCGTGATCAGATTAGGTTAGGTTAGATTACTGCATGTATTCTATATCAGCTTATTTCCATGCGTAATAACGTTGGTAATGATACTATTATATTTTCTGTGTTATTGTACAATAAAAATTGAACAGTTTTCTATTTTTCTTGATCAGTTTATATAAATAAACAAATTTGGACTTCATTTATTGTGTTATTTATTACTATGGTCAAAATTTCATCGGTATTCCATATTACATCCCATTTTTTAGACCCCCCATTTTCTCACTTTTGACTTTTTGTTAATACGTTGACGTTGGACTTAAATTTTAGCGACTTTCATTTATTGGATGTTGCAGCTAACATATTCCTCAAGAGTTCTGTGTAAATTTAAAGTCTTCATATGTTATATCGGAGCAATGTTAATTTAAAAAAAGCTATTCCATAATCCCTGCTTTTACCCTACTAGTTACATTTTTAGCAGAAAGGATTTATTTTTCGGTGACGTTAATTGCGCAATTATAAGCGTCTAAATTAGGAATAATAATGCTCTTTGTCATGACATCAGGAGAATTGCTGATTGTGTCACAAAGTCTTTAAATAACTAATAATTATACATTTCAAAGTCGTCGTAATTGATGAACACCCGCTGTCGAGTGATTTTACTTAATTGAGTTCTTATCTCATCGACCGTCGTGCGGAAGCACCATATCGTTTTAGCGCGACGATCGTGAAACAATTTTCCGGTGGAGAACACGACACGATAATGACCTCGGCCTTACACGCGAAGTTAATCGGCGAAGGTTTAAATTTGTACACACAGAGGAAGGAGGTAAAGCAGAAAAGGCTAATGAGATAGAGAGAATATGGGTAGAAAAGGAGAGCGGGAGGCAAAAAGCGTATGAGAACCAAGATAATCGCGAGAAGTCTATGGTAAATAAAAGCGATTATACGCGATTCGTTAAAGGGTATTTTCACGGTGTGAGCTGAGTAGGCCGTGGTGGAACAAAATCGTTTTCATTTGCAAGCTGTTACTAGCGCAGCATCTGTAGCTAAACGCTGTAAACAGCTTTACTCGACTCGTAATGGCGGAAGGAGTGTAGTTTAACTTTGAATAAGGCGGCCTAAGAGGCTTTCGACCTCGGTAACACTCAGGCTACTCGCGTCGGAATGTAAGCGCAATAATACAGAGTGGTCATCCACTACATTTCATTGGAAAAATTTTTCTCACTCGTACGTTTTCCTTATCAAGTCATTTTCCGTCGGGCGGAATTTTTCAGAAAATAACGATGCATCATTAATGTCGTCCAGACAATTTGAACAAATGTTACAAATATCAACGATTCGAAGCGCACGATCGCTCTAATAGGCCTCAACATATAGATACGTCCCATTAAATCACAAATATGGTATTGTTCTCGCACTTTCGACTGTAAACCCGGCGTTTATGTTGCGATAACAGTGATAATTGTTGCGACTGGAAACGTGTCACACACCAGTATTGTAGAGCCATCATCTCCGTGTCACTATATGTCAGATACGTTTTCTATTTTATTTTTTTTTCCACTGATTCTGAATTACATGAACTATTTAAAGTATCGGTCACTCTCTTTCGACATATTTGGATGCATTTCACATAAGACAAACTTATTTCTAGTTTAATATATCGCAAATTTGATGTATTTTATTATTTTTATATCGAGCTCTTATGATAATTGTTTTTATTAAATAAAAAGTAAACGATCTTGTTGTATGAGTTCGCGTCTGTTTTTATGACACTGATTTATCGAAGAAAAGAGATTAATAATGTAGTTGATTAATGGGTATCAAGTTTAGGCAAGAAGCTTAAAATTTATTATTCGTATTGTTACAATCGAATGTGGATCGAGAGCTTGACGAGGGAAATATGGAAATCGAGGTATTGTAAAAGAGGAAGAGTTCGAAGGGAGGTGAAAGAAGAGCACATTGATAGAATAATTTCCGTCCTCGTTTTGTTTCAACGAACGACAATGTGGACACTCGGCTGGTGGATTGCGTAAAAAGAATAAAAATTACATGGGTTTGATTCAATGGAAATTCAGGAATACCATATCGTTTCACTTTTAATAACATGCCTGCATCGCGATTTCGTTTCTTTCTGAACGCGCTTTTGTCCTACCAATTGCATTGTCTACGCAAATTGTCCGCCCACTCGTTGATTCAATCGATTCAATTTATTTTAATCGAGGTATAGACTCTTGACAATCTCGCGCGAAAGCAGGTTTAAAATTTTCAATAGCGCGGTATTCCATATTATTTATTTTATACAGTTAGCGGATATAAGAAATAGGATCTCTATAAAAAAGCTGAATAATCGAAACACAAACTCCATCATAAAACATTAATATTATTTTGCCAATTACATCACGTATTGTGTATGCGGTGCTGCGCTTTACTGTTTCTATATAGAGTATATGTGTAAAATTCAATTAATGGAAAATGTCGCTATCGACATGAAGCACATCATAAAAATGATGATGTTTGCTTCTATGTGTTTTCCACTTTTAACTGTGTTTGATACCTCGAGATACTTTTGCCCTCTTTCTTCTTTCGTTTAAGTACACGCGAATTCTTTGTAGAGATGACCCTTCGCGTTACGAGCCGCTATTTTATTACTAAAGTTATTTGTCTTTCAAGAAGGTCCTTTGTTACCATTTCTTTGTTCTCCCACTTTATTGACTCATCCTCTTCATTGTTGACCGCGACATTTTGATGGTAACGGCCGGGATAAAGATTGGACATAGATTTCGAAGTGAGTTCTTACATGGACCTTAAAATCCTGTCGAATGGTGCAATATCTCTTTTCGGTTATATAACTGTTTCCTTCTTCGATCGAAATGAATTATACTCAAGGAAGCAATTTTGAAAAAGATTCGTCAGCGTTCTGTCAAAAGTTCTCAGATAAGATATTTCAAAATTAAAAATATTTTAAATTAAAAAATTAAAAATATTTTAAATTGATTAACAATGTTGCAATAACTATAATATTTACTAGGAGATTTACAGTATTTCACTATATGTTTATTGCAAGTTTATATCTTTGAATTATTAATGCTATGATTAACATAGCGGATTACATTAATAATTCGAATACGGCTATATTATATATTATACCTATAAATTTTTTGTACGAAAACACAATATGTATTTTATAATTTATTTAACATATTATAAATATTTTTATTCTTGTATTTAGTATATATTCCGAAAATCATCCGGAAGTCTAAAATATTTTGTGGTCGTTAGTAAGCATCGACACTTCGCTTAAAAAAATAGCGCGCGGTCGCAACCAGTAGAGATTTGTTTGCTCGGGAAAGTCCGGATTCGAGAAAGTCCGAAAACCAATATTGTCGAAACCAAGGAAGCGGTGGCTTAGGTCCACCAGCCCATTGGGATCGGCTTCGCGCACCTTTCCCCGCAAGGTTGCAATATTTCACTGCCGTTTGGTAAACATCTCTTCTCGCAGAGCACCGAGTGTATTACACAACCCCAGAGCTAACGTTTCCCCAATAACCATTTCTCTTTCCAAGATTTCGTCGGCGCTGTCGCATTGTTGGCAAAGCGTAATACTTTAAGTAATTACCTGGTATATCGTACACCGCAAACACATGCATACTTGTACGCCCGAGCACATATATGTTTCTTACGAAACTGGTGTTCATTTATTCAATCTAAATTCGCTTCTAACGATCTGATTTTTTTTTCAACAATGTGAGATTGTATTTTTCTATACATTACGCTAATGGTACATTCTTTGTGTTTTAATTTTTTATGCTTTTTGTGCAGAATTTCTGATACAAAATGGGGGTGTAGATATTAGCTTCATTTTAACAATTCAATTCTTTATGCTATAATACTTTAGGTAAGTTTTTCCTCCTACATAAGTTTTAATATTAGGCAAGTAATTTTCTCAAACATTAAAATATAGTGGAAGAACTGCTCCGGATAAATTTCATTTCTCTTCTTGCTAAAAGGATTAACAGTTCAAAAAGCATAAAAAGTGCTGGAACGAAAATTACTTATTATTAAAGAGATTATTTCTGCAATATCTCGTATTCACCGAAATTGGAAATCGATAATTGTTCTCTCGCGACAAAGCGTAGAAGCCCATTTAAGGTTTTGATTTTTGCATTTTTCTTTCGTAGCACGAATTTTGATCAAACATTGATTTGTAACTGCGCCGATTATCAATATCTCGAACAGCTCACACTATTGAAGCTGAATCCGTGGTATCAGAGGAAAGCGTTGATTAAATGCGCTCCGACTGCTTTATCATGAGCATGAGCATGCTACCCATTCAGTTCACTTCGCACGAGAACATAAATAAACTTTGTAATCGCGCAGAACAAGCTTGCAATATGAGCTTCACGTGAATTGCTCCGATGTGCAGCGCGCGTTGAGTAATTTTCGACTTATCAATGGAAATTCCATAGTCCACTGCTCATGAGCACTCCTCGTGGATGCTCTCTCCTATTAAGTGTTGTGATTAATAAATTCATTATAATTATTTAGTTCAAGTTTGTACGAGAAATCTCCGACGTTTAAAGCTCGTCTATACCAAACAGCAGGGGCGCATTGTCGAAGCATTTTCTGAGCTTTAATCTCAAGACGTATATCGACAAGGGATTTCACGACGAGAATACTAAGAACCGGCGCAGCGGGCGGCGATGTCGCTCTAACTTGCAAGGCGAAGAAAAAAGATCTGACTGATACAAATGACCGACTCGTTATTAAGATGCCTCATTCGTGAAACGCGGATCCATTTATATGCGTTAAGATATACTGTAGCTTTTCTGGGAAAACTTTTAACGAGCGCGGACAGCACGGGTTTCGCGCGCGCGCGCGAGCGCAGCGGGGCGAGGGTGGTCGGCGTGGAAACTCGAGAAAGTTTTAATCTCGGCCCGACTGCAGCCGCGACGAGGCTTGTAACGCTTTACGGTGAGTACCCGAGAAGTCGACTCGAAAGTCTAATTTTACGTTCGAATTAGCTGCGCCGACGATCTCGGGGGCGCCTTGCCACGGCGAACACTCGGCATTCCATGATATAACGAGGGGTGGCTGAATTCTTTTCGCTTCGCATCCAGTCTTCATCGGTCGGATTTACGAAGGCGCGGCGGCGAGACTCGAGACCATTCATAACACACCAGGTGCGCGACCTGCTCGTAACTTTCAGCCTGAAACGCCGCCCCTGTAACCTACATTATTGATCCGTTTGTGTACGGAACACTCGACGGAACATGTAACGCCTTTCATTCCTTTTCTCGCCGCTTGACGACGGACCGAATGTCCGAGCACCAAAAGCTGCGCGTTACGCCCGTATCGCGTGCAACATGCACTTCTTCCTTTTATATCTGACGATACCAGATATCGCAAGTAATTTGGAGTAAAAAGGAAAAAAAACAAGATATTGCGCCGAATCGCGTAAACGTGCGAACGGTGCGACTTTCAAAGCGGCGCGAAAATATACGAATTATTGTTCCAGTCTGTCACCGTGAACTGATGAAATGCTTAAAACACGGCGTGACGCGTCGAGCGTACGGGTTGACGAGAAATATTTTCATTAACTGAATTTTTTAGAATTCTATGTAACCGTATAACGTAACGCTCGAGAAGCGTTTCAATTTCGTGACGTATGCTGCAGATGACAGGACACTTATATTTTTCAAATTGCCCATACAAAGTGCTGCTTTTTTTTTTATCTCTCGACAACTCGAGGGAGCTCCCGCAAACAGGTTTGACACGCGTATGTCGCTATCTTGTTCGAATAATAAATTTCTAACTGGTAACACGGTGCAACCGCGAATACTTCGTTTATGGTATAAACGTTTGGAAAAACGACCTCTCTTATTCGTACTGGAACGTATTTTTTGTTTTTTTTTTGCTTTGCATAATATACTCAAAATATCCTAACCATCCTTTTTTATGGAAAAAGAGCCTCATTTATTTATTAAAAATTTTCGATTTAACGTTAATTCGTAAAAAAATACTTCGTCGTTTGCGCAAAGTACGTAAATCGTGACTAGTGTGCATAGACATTTAACTGAGGAATGTGAAACTCTGCTCGTGTGGTTTTATGACATTGTTCTGCCGGCGGTTCGAGTGTACGGCTATTGAATGTGGGTCGTCTATTAAAAAGTCGTGAGAATTACGTACTTCGCGACGTATTAATTAGTCTAGAGAGTCGGCGAAAAATTGTGAGAACAACGCGTAGTAAAGTTCATTAGTTAGTTACATATGTGTGTATATATATACAGGGTCATCGAAAAGTATCGGACCCCCCTAATATCTTCAGTTAGAATGCATTTTGGAGAAAATGTCCAATAGCAAAGTTGTATGGTTTCAAACGAGGAGTAAGATGATGACCTTGACTTTGATCTTGACCATGTCCTTTAAGGTCATTTCAAGGTCAACCTTATTTTTTTAAATGGAACCCCCTACATTTTATTGCATATTTTTATAGCTTATCTCGAGAACTTTCCAAAACATTATAATAAAACATTTTTTCATTAAGTATTTTTGAGTTATGAAGGTTTGGACATTTTTCCAAAATGCATTCTTACTGAAAATATTAGGGGGATCCGACACTTTTTGATTAATCTATTTTCTTTAAACCAATTAATTGGTCTCATTATTCCGCGCACAAAAGTATTAAGGTTATGATTACTGAAAACTAAATAATATTTTACAAGATATTTTA